CCTGATTATCTTAATTATCGTATACTATACCCCAACCCCCCATTCCAACTGTGAAGGCCCCTACACCCTAAACCCTGATAGTAGCCCTTATAGTATCCCTTAAGGGATTCCTCAAAAGCAGCCCCAAAACCCTATTCTAATCATTAACGCCCCTACATTACAAGAAGAGCGACCTTATGCCGAACACCCTCAGCCCGGTACTTGCACGACCCAAGCGACCCAAATTCTCAGCCCTCAGCCCTGGATTTGAAAGAACAGACCTTTGGGGTTTGGGGGTTTATAAGGGTTTAGGGTTTAGGGTTTAGGGGTTTGGGCTTTACGGTGTAGGGTTTAAGGTTTAGGGTTGCGGGTTTGGGGTTTAGGGTTGAGGGNNNNTACCCTTTAATAACGCCCTTATGGTCCTGAATAGTGGATATTTAGGGCAGACTGGAGGGTAGTTGGGGGGTGTTGGCTAACTCCTGAAACTGACCCTTTTGACCCGGGCTTCCGAGATGCGAACTTTAGATACAGACGAAGAGTCCGTAGACCGGTAATTTAGTCAGAGATCCGTGATTTTCGGAATATACCGTAGTTGTGTCATTTTCGGGGACTATAAGGGGGACAAGATAGAACCCTTAAATACAAGTATTTTCCCCCGAGCTCTGAAACCCTAAACCCTAAACCGTTGAAACATGCAAGGATGAACCCCAATGTCCTTGTCTCATCGAGTCTGTACGTCAACTAGTTTCGGTATCCTTACCGAATGATCGTAGCATGTATGCAGGCCCTTCTTTTCGTATGCAAGATCACAGCATTGCAGTGCAGTCTTGGGTTTGGCATTTTAGAGGTTTGGCTTCAGGGGTTGAGAGGCTATGAGGCTTATTCAGTTGTACAACTAGCTCTTGCTGGTGCAGGTCTCACTTCTCTTGGGTAAATCGTGTTAAGGAGTGAGGGTTTAGGGCTTAGGTTAGGCTGCCATACCTCTCGCCCACTTAGTATGTTCCTGCCTCAGAGAAACCCGTCTTCTCCCTGCCCGAAAGTGCAGGATCCGAAATCTGCAACAGCCCAGACTGCTCTTCCAAATCAAGGGGTTGCGAACCCGTGAGACCCCTAAGCCCAGACCCCTAAAACCTTCGCCTGAAGTACACTGCGTTCCCGCCGCCTTACCCGAAAAACTTCAACCCCAAAGACCATAAATCCCCAAACACTAAACCTTTAATACTAAACCCTAAACCCTAAATACTAAACCCTCAACTCCGAATCCCGAAATCCCAAGGCTTGAGAAGGATTGTAGGATGATGCGGAACATGACGCTTGGGCGGCAAAGGGCTTGGTGATGGAGGTCTGGTGGTTTTTGTGTGTTTTGAGGGGTGGTGTTGGGTTGTTTCAGGTTGTAGGCCGTTTTGGGTTGCTCAAGGATTTTGGGGTGTTTTGATTGCCTAAGGTTTTTGGATTTTGGTTTGAATTTGGGCTTTAAGGCCTCGGGTACAGGTTTTGCTGCTCCGGGGCAAAAGTATACGATACAAGGTTGTTCGCTTCTCTTGGCGTCAAACCAAAGGAAAGTTTGCTTAAGGGGTGTCTTGGAGGGTGGTCCATTAATCATAGACCCTCGTGGCTAAACTGTAGAGCACTTCCGCTTTAGAGGTTTAAACTATATAGGTTCATGGATGCAGTTTCGTATCTAAGATGACCCTAAACCCTAAATACCCTAAGCCCTAGCCCGAAGCTCCCAAGCCGAAGGCCTGCCCTTGCTCCGAGGGTACCCAGAAGGGGGGCGGGGGTCCTTTATGGGTTCCTTCATGGGTTCCGTTCGTAGTTCCTTCAAAGAAGCTTACTCGCCTAGTAGAATCGTAGTTTCAGGCTTTTAGGCCAAAGCTGCTCGTTGTTTCCGTGGCGTTACGGTTTCGGTGTGTGCTTCTGCAACGATTTGGGATCTTCAGGACCGCGTGCGTGCGAGCCTGCCAAGGTGGGGCGTTCGGGTTTTGGGCAAAAGGCGTCGTTGCCACAAACCCCTGAACCATACTGAACCTTAAGTTCTTACATCCGAAGGCCAAACCCGAAGGTGCTATGCCTTGGCATGCCCCGTGACATTCAGAAACTCCGATCGAGGAATCCCACGGACATCGAGCGACTGATTACAGCATCCCGTCTGCGGGAGCTCAGCAGTCGGTTTCTTGGGGTTTTTTTTGATGTAGAAAAGTCTCAGTAATCACCATCATTTTCCGTAGAGCAGACTAATTAGGGTTGGACGGTTAGGGTCTCAGGGCCCAGGTTTATGAGTTTCAGACTCGGCTGCCAGGGCTCAAGCACTAGATCTTCCTATACCCTAAACCCTGAAACCTAAACCCTAAACCCTAACCCTAAACCCTAGACCCTAAACCTTAAACCCTAAACCTCTCTATCATATGATAGTCTAAACTTTAATGACCTTCGTGGCTCAAGGCACATTCGTTCGTGGCTCAAGGCACAAATTGTGCCTTAAGCCACGAACGAATGCAGTTTTTGTGCCTTGAGCCACAAACGAATGCAGTTTTTGTGGCTGGACCGCGCCAGGGGGACACCCCCTTGGACCCCCGAAAAGCAATTTCTATAGCTGGTCTTTAGGGTTTAGGATCTAGGGCTCTGGGCTGGCTTTGGCCGGCTCTCCAGTTGATCAATGCACGCCTTTGTGGTCCCATCCTCCAGCCGATTAAAACTCGTGGCTCTTGATGCCCTGGCTCCTCCCCGGCCCCTGTACTACTACTACTACTACTACACTACTACTACTACTACTACTACTACTACTACTACTACTACTACTACTACTACTGCAAAGTCGGATCGCTAGAGATTGGGAGAGCAAATCAAAAGAGAATATAAGACTCAGTGGAGAAGCAAAATACAAAATATGATTCGTCTAGAAAACCAGGCAGGGATGCGAAGAACAAAGGGCCAAGCTGGATTTAGCTTGAAGATTGTCTAGCCCGTCTTTCGTCCAACGAGCCCGAGAACAGTGTATATAATGTCCATGTGGCGAAAGCGTCGAAGGTCTTTGCATCTGGGAATGAAGGAAGCATTATAGACTTTGGAGGCTTGTTGAAACAAAACGAAGTGTTTATTTTCCATTGTTATGGGATTCCTGGGTGGGTGGGTGTTATGTCTATACCAAGAAAGCTACTCTGTTGTAAAATGGCTCGATCCGGAGCTACTGAACCCTAAACCCTAAACCCTATAAACCCTATAAGCCCTAAACCTTTAAGTTCAGGGGGGGGTTCGGAGTGACGGGCCGGGTTTAAGGATGCTTCTGGTAAGCGCTTCCAGAGGTGTCAAGGGTAGACTTCTGGATTATCTTATATAGGGTTTAGGGTCTTGGTTTTAGGGTTTAGGCTTTTGGGTTTAGGATTTAGGGTTTAGGTTTTAGGGTTTAGGTTTTAGGGTTTAGGATTTTGGGTTTAAGCGGGTTTAGGATTTAGGATTTAGGGTTTATACGGCTGGAAATTCAGGGTTGTGGCTAAGAACGCTTAAACCCTAAATCCAGACCCTAAAACTAGCGCGGAACCGAAATAATGAGAAATAGTATCCTATCATAGTGCCTACTCGCTGTACTACAACGGCCCCCAATATCTTGGTCTAGTTATTCATGCCCATTATGCCTACGCGGTACACGAGACCTATATCGGCGGTGCAGTCTCTAGAAGGTGCCAACTTCGTGCCATGTGAGGAGTGCTTGAAAATTTTCTAACTCCTAAATCCTAATCCCTACCCTAAATCCCTAAACACCTCCAAAAAATGCCATAAACCCTATAAGTCTATAAGCCTTGTTTGGATGCCCCTAAACCCTAAAACCATAAAGCCAAAACCCCTTCATAGACCGTGTTTGGAGTGTTGCGGCAAACGAGCTCCTCAACCTTAACCTTTGCAGCTTGAGATTCTGAGGCTCGAAGCGTGCAAAAACCCTAAAGTCTAAGGCCCAAACCCAGACACCCTAAACCCTAAATGCAGGGATAGCTTCAAGTTTAAACCCTGAGCCCTAAACCCCTCCCGGTAGCTTCAAGTCTCCGAGGTGAAGGGCATCGTCATCCGAGTCTCCGACCTGAAACCAGCCAAAGGCTCAGGGGATGAGAATCTTCTGTGGGGTTTCTAAGGGTTTCTAAGGGTTTAGGGTTTTGTACGGCTTACAAGGGCTACTATACGGGCTTCGTTGTGGCTTGCTATGTTTACAAGGGTGGGACGTAGAGTTCTTACCCTCTAAGTGTTGTTAAGCGTTGCTACACGGTTTCTACGATGGTTTATGTAAGGATTTTCATTTGGTTATCAGAAAGGTTATTATGGAGGTGGGCAAGGGAGTTTGGAGATATGTTTGGGCTTGGGGGAAGGTAGAGGTTTGTTCATGAGCAGGTGTGGAATTTTAAAGGATTGATGCACGATACGGGCAACTACCTAATGGTGCAGCATGTTGATGCGATGTCATGGCTTGCGCTTGTCACCGTAGGTGTAACGTACCTTAGCAACGACACGGCAGTGTTGCTGCGTTCCAGCAGCTCCTCCCCCCTTAGGCTTGTCGCCCTTCCCTTTGCCGTTGATTTTGCCCCACAAAGAGTGCGATTCCAATTCTGGGTGTCGGAAGTTGTCGAGCAGTAGGTGGCCCCACCTGAGCAGTCTAGGATTCCTGGATACAGGGTTGGGGTTTCTGGTTCCAGTAGCATAGAAAATGTTAGTATGATCATAAACATGCCCTTCTACTTACCAACCTGCACCTTATGACGCCAGCAATCCAGAGTTTGTGCTTGGATCGGACCTGCACCCTGAGCCCGAAACCCTGAACCCTGCACCCCAAGCCTTACGCCCTAAGCTGGAACCCCCAAACCGCAGCCCTCTAAAGCAAAACCCGTACACCTAAGTCTTACGGTTGATGATATAGAACCTGCATTACCCATAATAAGGAATATACCTTAATCCCCATAGTTTAGGGTCCTTACAGTAACGCAGGATTTATATCATCAACAGTAAGACCACAGAGATGTCCGAGTGACGCTGAGGACATGAACCGGGCCATCTTCCGGTGCACCACGGAGGATTGCAAGAACGAGGCGCGACTTCTAGGGAAACTTGAGGGTGTTTAGGGAATCTCTCGTCTTTGGGGGGGATGTAGGACTTTTTGGTTTTACAGCCTTTCGGGCTTCGGATATTTAGAGTTTAGAGATTTGGGGTGTGTAGAGGCTTTACGGCTTCGTCGATGCAAGGCTTTCGGGTCTTTAGTGATCTAGCGCTCTAGCGGTTCAATGCGTTGGCTTTGGGGTGGAAGAGACAAGGTTTAGGGTAATATGGAAGCCTAAATAATTACCAATATTTTGGGCGTTCCTTATCATAGTTACAGTATAATAATATACCCCCAAACCCTATTCTAATTGTTAAGGCCCCTACATTAAATGTGAGGGTGGCTCTGCATTCGGATTTCTTTCTTCAGGTTTCAGGGAGTTTTCTTTGGTGTTCATGGAGTGCCGGCCTGTCCTTGCAGGCTTCTGGGAAGCTTCTGAGGCATATGGACCAGAGACGAGCTCGCGAGTGTCTGAACCGTGGCAGACGTCATCATCAGTGGAGGAATGGCTCCACTTCCTTACCCTAAACCCTAAACCCTAAAAAATAAACCCTAAACCCTAAACTAGGTTCCCCCTTTTTTGGAGGACTTGGCCTCCCAGCTCTAGCTGAGGACAGTCTTGCTGCTGATGCACCTGGTGTTGGCGTGTCGCAGAGATCTTCGTGATCACAACGCTTGGTGAAGGGGACCGTCGTCGTCTTCTTCTATGCAGCAGGTTTCTCCTGCGGAGGCTGATCCTCCCAGCTAAGGACGGTGAAGTCCCGATGAAATACTTCACGCTAGTCCTCGTCGAGTTCTTGCACTTCGACGGGCTCAGGCTGAAGTTCAATAACGTCGTTTGGTGTTCGGTGTTCGGTTTTATTTTTCCCAGACCCACTGACCCTGTAGCCCGGATCATGTAAACCCCATGCCCTATACCCTACTCCCAAGAACTACCAAACCCTAAAACCAAGAATCCAAGCCCAATGATGCAGGGGCCTAAATAATTACGATAGCGTTGTGGGCCCCTTTATTGTATACTCTACATTAAGGAACTATAAGGAGCAATAGTGGTAACCGTTCCCCCAAGCCGTAAACCCAACCCCAAAACAGGAACCCATATCCTTAGGGGTACTTAGAAATATTTTTTAATCTTTGGTTACTATAAACCCTAAGAAGCAGCTAAAATTATAATTTTTGCTAGGGGTCTAAGTTCAGTCTGTCCCTACTGACCCATGGTGAGCTCTCCAGAAGCTGCCGTAAGACCCAGCGAAGAAACTTTGAATGGCGAACGTGTGTATCCCTGCAAAACCCGGCGCAACCTTCAAGCTCTAACGACCAACCTCAAAGCCCTATTAGTCTAGGGGCCTTAAGAATTAGAACAGGGTTTGGGGGATGTTATACTCAAACTGATAATAAGGAACCCCCAAAACCCT